GGAACCCGTTACATTTGGCGTCAGAAGTGGCTATGGAGACAAGAAGTAAGCCACGTACCTTCAGTCCTGATGGCGATGAAGAGGAGCAGGCAGCGATGGGGCGGCCAACGCCGGCCGACAGCGACGCTGCACCGCCGGCCGACAACAACGCCGCACCACCGGCTGAGCAGCCGTCTGCTCCACCGACCGTCCCCTCTCCAGCGTCGGGAGCAGGTATGGAGGAGACGCTGCTTCGCCTCGCAGAGCTGCTCTGTGCCACCGCCTGCCTCCTGGGCGAGATGCGGTGCTCGCGGCCGATGGCGGGAGGGAGAGAGGAGGCGCGGCGCTCGCCCAAACCCGCCGCCGCCGCCGCCACAAACATGGTGGACGCCGCCGCCATTCCCGCCACCGGCGTCCCCCCCACGGATGTGAGGGATACTTCCGGGAATGACATCACTTCCACCGGAGGAGCAGTGACCGCTGGGAGCGACGTCACTTCCGGGCCCAGCGTGGGCCAACCCGGAGACGCCGCGTCATCAGCACTGCGTCCCTGACCGCCGGGTGACAGCTGTTTGCAACCTAGCAACGCCGCGTCATCAGCGCTGCGACCTTCACTGCCGGACGACAACTGCCTTCAACCTAGCATACCGCGTCATCAGCGCTGCGACCGGACAGTGAGGGCGCCATTCTTACTGTAACCAGCGCCGGAGCCGGCACATGGACCGACACGCTGGTCGCCGCCTCTGCTGCTCTGGCCAAAGGTTGGAGGTCGGGAGACCAGGCCCCTGACACTTCGTACATTTTACGCGCTCCGGATTAACGACTTTTTTGTTGATATTTTCTTCGTTGTCGTCGGGGAGTCGTGACTGTTGTTGGGTAAACTGTGTGGAGCTTCGCTCGTGAGTGTTGTCAATGTGTGTGCGAAACTTTGCTTGTGATTGTTAACAATGTATAGTTTGTATTGAGCTTTGTTCGTGATTGTTAATGTATAGCTTGTGCTGTCATTGTTAACGATGTATAGACTGTATGGGGCATTTATCTTGAGATGATGACATGCTGCCAAGGATTTGGAATTGTCAGGCTGGCTCTCAAATATCTTGGGATGCAGATCCTGACCAGGATGGCCCAGCGGGTGTTGCGTGTCTAACACGAGAGTTGTGGTCCCGTCATGCTATGGCTGACGGCTTGACCTGACAGCCCGGAGATAGAGACACTCCGTGGCATGTCTAGCCTAGTGGGCTGTGTGCTCACATGGCTCGGAGAGTGTGGTCCCGTCATGCTATGGCTGACGGCTTGACCTGACAGCCCGGAGATTGAAACACTCCGTGGCATGTCTAGCCTATTGGGCTGTGCGCTCACAGGGCTCGGAGAGTGTGGTCCCGTCATGGAATAGCTGACGGCTTGACCTGACGGCCCGGAGGTTGAGACCCTCTGTGGTACGTCTGGAGCAGTAGGCTCGCCCTGACGGCCCAGAGATTGAAACACTCCGAGGCGCGTTGAAACAGTGGGCTGGAGATTCGTGGTGTTCAGGTGTAGTTGTCCCGTTACGTTGGGACTGTATCCCTCAGTTGTTAGGGTGCATGTTGTGCAGGGAGTGACGATGGGTCGTCTCAGATCGGTCGGTACAGCTATATGCTGTGATGCGAGTCTTGGAGAGAGATTGGGTCTCAGCTCGGTCGGTACAGCTATATGCTGCGATGCGAGTCTTGGAGAGAGACTGGGTTGAAGCCCCCCGATATGGCCGACGCGTGCTACTGGTTGTGACGCTGAATCGGAAAGGCGGTGGGGTGGTAACACGGAAATTCCCCCCCGATATGGCCGACGTGCGCAGTTTTAGGATGGAGGCGCCACGTTGGAAAGGCGGGGGGTGCTAACGGTTGACATGTAATGTCGGTGGTGGTCTTCATTGAGGGCTGCTGGGACGCAAGCACGGGATGCCTTTTGGAGATGCGGTTCGTGCGTGCGGCCACCATTTATGGACAGGAGCAGGCAGATTTATTTTGTTTGTGTCATGTAAATTTTATATATATATTTTAAAATGTAGATACTGGAGCAGCCCTGAAGTGCGACTTCTTTGCCCAGTACATGGGTCGGCCCTGAAGTACGACTTCTCGACCCGGGACGTAGACAGACGTCCGGATAAGTGTGTGTAGAGGGGTGATAGACATGTTGGTCTTCGCCTTCTCACCACCTGACGGATGGGAGGGTGGCAGGGTGGTGTGGATCCCTGCCATCCATGCGGTGATTGTGTGATTTCGGTTCGATTACCGGTGTTGGTTGTGCATCCAACGCGTCGGAATCTGTATATTTGTTGTTGTTAATTCCCCGTTTTCTATGCGGATCCCGAGGAGGGCTAGGTGTGCCGCGGGTCGTTTGTTCACGTGTCATTGCTTCACCTTTTTGTTGATTGATGCTTGTATATAGTGTAAAGTTGTACAGGTTGGTTATGGTATTTATGGTTGCTTTCTTGTTCTATTTTCTTTTCCTGTTGAGGCTCGTGTATTTTTTTTCTCTCCCTTTCGTTATTTTAAACTTTCTAATTATTGACAGCCGTGACGGCTGGAGGCTACGTAGAGGGGGGTAATGTAGTGACATAAGAAGGGAGGGGCTGCTGGGGGCTCTGGGATCCCAGGCGAGTCCAGGCGCTTAATCCCCTTGGCGCCAGGCGTGGGTTCTCAGGCGGGTCAGACGCTTAAGCCCCTTGGCGTCAGGCGTTGAGTTCCCAGGCGCTTAATCCCCTTGGCGCCGCCAAAGGGGGGGGGGGCTGTGTGTGCTCTGTGGGATATCTGGGGGCGCACATGGCCCCACCCCTCGTTGGGGACTGGGCATATAAGCGGAGCTCCCTGGACGATCGGGGCCAGTCGTAGCTCAAGACCCAAGACCCAAGACCAGCCATCGGAGGACCCTGGGATGCTGTGAGAGCCAGTGGTGGGACTCTGGAACTCCCGACTCTACGACCTTGTGAGGGCGAGTTCCAGAGCGTAGCCAGAGTAGAGTATCTAGGCTGAGTACCTAGGCTGTAACAGAGTATCAGGAGTGTTGGAGAGTTGGACTGTTGGAGTACTGTTGGAGTGTTGTGTTGTAATAAAGAAGTTACCTCTACAAGTGTCTCCGGAACCCGTTACAGTAGTATCTACGGACTCTAAAAGCTCCTCACCGTACTAGTATGTACTGACTGTATAGTAGTATATACTGACTGTAGCAGTATTGACTGACTGTAGTGGTATATACTGACAGTTTTAGTATCTACTAACTCTATATAGCAGTATCTACCAACTCGATAGCAGTATCTACTATCACTACAGCAGTGCATACTGACAGTGGTACCTGCTTTCACGACAGCAGTGCATACCCACTGTGGTGGTACAGGCTATGAATACAGCAGTGCATACTGCTGTGGTGGCGACCTGCTATGATCACAGCAGTGCATACTGTGGTGGTGGAACCTGACATGATTATAGCAGTGCATACTGTGGTGGTCACCTGCTATGACAGGAGTACATACTGTGGTGGTGGTACCTGCTATGACAGCAGTAAATACTGTGGTGGTACATGCTATGACAGAAGTACATACTGTAGTGATACCTGCTATGACAGCAGTACATACCGACTGTGGTGGTACCTGGTATGACAGCAGTACATACCGACTGTGGTGGTACCTGCTATGATCACAGAAGTACTGTGGTGGTGGTACCTGCTATGATGACAGCAGTACATACTGTGGTGGTGGTACCTACTATAATGGCAGCGGTACATACTGTGGTGGTGGTACCTGCTATAATGACAGCAATACATACCGAGTGTGGTGGCACCTGCTATGATGAAAGCAGTACATACTATGGTGGTGGTACCTGCTATTACAGCAGTGCATACTGCTGTGGTGGTACCTGCTATGATTACAGCAGTGCATACTGACTGTGGTGGTACCTGCTACTTTACTTAATAACTAGGCTACAGTCTGCATTATAGACTGCCAGTACACTCACCCAGCTTAATAACTTTGTACAGTCTATATTTAAAGAATCAATTCTTGGCGCGCTCGGGTTTATTTTAATTTACTGAGTTTTATTTTCATTGCTCTGTTACGTTTTAAAGTTTTCAGAAGTTTTTTAATGTATTTTCCCCCCGGGCAACGCTGGGTATATCGACTCTAACAAGTGTGGGGTGTCGAGGCCTAGTCCCGTACAGAGCCTCCGGCCTCGCCTAGATTGCCCAGTCGGGCGAGGCTGGGGGCTGGGCCACTACCCCCCCCCCCTCCCGCGCTAGAATAAGTCTAATCTCTATAATTTTATCATCTACCGACCCTATAATAGTAATTGCACACATTGGGGTGGGGGGAGAGAGAAGAGGACGTGAAACTTTGATGTATTTACCTCAGAGTCGCGTGTAAATGTGTGCGCCTATTTTTAACGCGAGTGAGAAATGGCGTCCACCCTGCAGCGACGGCGCGCTGCCCGTTGCCAGGGGCAACCCTCGGTCAGCGTCTCGCGCATGCGCAACGGCGTGCTAAATAAAAAAATTAAGAGAAATCGCACTAAATCGATAATTAAATCGCTTTAAAGTTTAGGGACGAAAAACGGAAATGCCTATTCCCACCGCGGGGCTCGGGGCGTGCCTCCCGGCAAAAAAACGTCTCGACAAACCCCACTGTCCGAGAGCCATAACCCCCGCGAGCGTACGCGGACGGACGGACAGAGACAGACAGACAAAAAATTAGTCTTATAGGTTAGATGAATGATCCGACTATGCTTCCGATTTCAAAGACAATGAGTTGCATCAGAGTCAGATGCTTCCCGATTCACAAAAATACCCTTTGACCCGCATCACAAAAATAACAGCTCTCACGTGAGCTTTTGTAAAGGTTACCACCAAAACAGACACTTTGTCCTGACCATTTTGACATTAATACACAAAATGTTGCATGTACGTACAGAAACACACAAGCATTCTTTCAATTATGATTCAAAATAATCAAAAGGCACATTGGCAACATTTTTATTACTATAATGAAATGTACTGCATCACATTACAACGTATTTATAAGTTGATCTCTGACAAGATTAGGCCTATATGTGCAGCATTCTTATAGAGGGAAGCCAAGTAGTAGTACATTCTCTATTTGTTGCAGAGGTTCAAGGTTCAAATCCGACTGGCATATCAATCATCGCCCCAGACTTACAAACTCATATCCACATACAGGCCAGTGAACGGTCACCTTGTGGCACACAGGGGCAGATGCCCATTATGGGCACCCATCGAGCGTCTACGATGTGATATGATACAAAACACTTGAGTGACTCCTGGTTAGAGATCGACCCAACCCACAGGTTCACAAATACTGGCCACTCTTACACTGCAGTTTGAACCTAGAAATTGAGTGTTCAACTTCACATTATATTCATTAGAAAGGCCTGTGACAAAGGTGCATCCATTGGAGCTTAATTGTCTCAAGCTTGCACATCTACCTGGTCTCCATTTGACTTTGTATTGTGTAAGAAGTCCACCCACACCTCCACAAACTCCTGGGAGTTGCCTCGCTCTGCCTCACAGTCAGAATTTAGTTCCTGTTTCACACTGCCTCCATCTATGTGAAGGTCCGATTTTGGAGTTGAATAATCTTCAAATTTAACCTTCACTTCTACGCTCTTCACTGTTACTTCTTCACATTTCACTTTCGCCTCTTCATATTTCACCTTGATACCTTTCAAAGTGTCCAGGCTGGGATTGTCTTCTGGTTCTTGTTTCATGAACAATGGGGTCATTGCAGCACTTTGGCTTTCACAAGCTGATTTCAGATTACACTTCTTGTGGATTTTCTGATGCGTGCGTGTTCTCTGGTGTTTTTTAAGATTTGATGAATGTGCAAACGCTTTCCCACAAACACTGCACTTGAAGAGTTTCTCTCCTGTGTGTGTTCTCTGGTGTCGTCGAAGAGCAGATGAATCTGAAAACGCCTTCTCACACACACTGCACTTGAAGGGTTTATCTCCTGTGTGTATTCTCTGGTGGGTCTGAAGAGTTGATGACTTTGCAAACGCTTTCCCACACAGAGTGCACTTAAAAGGTTTCTCTCCTGTGTGTGTTTTCTGGTGGGTCTTAAGATTTGATGACATTGCAAACGCCTTCCCACACAGAGTGCACTTAAAAGGTTTCTTTCCTGTGTGTGTTCTCTGGTGTTGTTTAAGAGTAGATGAATAAAAAAATGCCTTCCCACACACACTGCACTTGAAGGGGTTATCTCCTGTGTGTGTTCGCTGGTGTCTTTGAAGATGTGATGACTGTGCAAACGCCTTCCCACACACAATGCACTTGAAATGTTTCTCTCCTGTGTGTGTTCTCTGGTGTCTTTGAAGATGTGGTGACTGTGCAAACGCCTTCTCACACACAGTGCACTTGAAAGGTTTATCTCCTGTGTGTGTTCTCTGGTGTGATTTAAGAATGCATGACAGTGCAAACGCCTTCTCACACACAGCGCACTTGAAAGGTTTCTCTCCTGTGTGTCTTCTCTGGTGTGATTTAAGAATGTATGACCGTGCAAACGCCTTCTCACACACAGTGCACTTAAAATGTTTCTCTCCTTTGTGTGTTCTCTGGTGTGATTTAAGAATGGATGACCGTGCAAACGCCTTCTCACACAGTGCACTTGAAAGGTTTCTCTCCTGTGTGTGTTCTCTGGTGTGATTTAAGAATTGATGACTTTGCAAACGCCTTCCCACACACACTGCACTTAAAAGGTTTCTTTCCTGTGTGTGTTCTCTGGTGGGTCTTAAGATTTGATGACTTTGCAAACGCCTTCTCACACACAGTGCACTTGAAAGGTTTCTCTCCTGTGTGTGTTCTCTGGTGCTGTGTCAAGTTTCCAGTACAATCCGTGCTGTTTGCATGCTGGTCGCATTGTTTCCTTCTTGTACTGAACTGCGCTGAGTGCCTTTGCTCCATCAGGCCAATTCTGCAGAGAGAGCGTCAGCTGCAAACAGAAAAGCATGTCCACACCATCTATGTGAGTATTGAGGCACAGAGGAATGCATATATACACAGTCACACATGACTTACACATCTATACATATTCATATTTTTATGATATAGTGAAAGAGATTCCCCAATTCATCACACGGGCTGTTAAGGCACACAATGCGAGGGCAAATGGTCATAAATATGCCTGGACACCCTAGTGTCTTCAAAATTAATGTTTACCAAAAACTCCAAGCACACAATTTCGGTTGTCTAGCTACGACAGGAATATTTAAGAAAAAATTAACCTAGCAAAGGCTTTTGAAAAGAATACTATTTGTATTATGCAGAAATGTATAAATTAATGTTCATTTGCAACTTAGAGGTGTGAAGCCAGGCTCAGATTAGCTTGAATGCGAGGATGAACAGATTTAACTTCAGCTGCATATGTGCTGTGTTAATTTCCTGACTGTTTCCATTCTTATGAAAATTTCCAAAGCAAAACTAAAATAAACTATATTTATGATTTAACCTCCATGTTCAATCGAGTCAATATACTTGACAGCAAATACAAACTTCACATGTTCATACACTTGCATGGTAAAAAGGTGGTTAAATTTTGACTTAAAACTTTCGTGACTGCAGGAATTAATATTCTTTGGTTATTTCGGTAAAGTCAAGTAGATAGAAAATAATAATACAAATAAAGTGAATAGAAGAAAAAAAACGACTAATGTAGACTGTAGCCTGGTTCTTAACCTCGGTGAGCGCAGAGGCGTAGCTAGGATATTTTGCGCCCAGGGACGAACTATAAAATTGGCGCCCCCCCCCCCCCCCCGTTTAATCACATTTTCCTATTACATCGAATAAGGAATAACAATTTTAATGAAACATTGTATATAAAGAAGCAAATTTATAGAAATTATATTACATGGCTCACTCAGTCACTGTCGTAGACTGGTTGACATAGTCTACAAAAGATTATTTTTTCTTGATTTCACTGTCGCAAACTGGTCAATCACGTAATCAAAATATGTTTTTTCCAATGTTTTTCTTTCAACGCTAAGAAGAGCAAGATCGCTGAGACGATCTTGTCCCATTGAAGCACGCAAATACGACAAAATAAGTTTCAATTTGCTGAACGACCGCTCACAGCTTGCAATTGAAACTGCTACTGTTAATAAAATTTGTAGTGAAATTCGCAAATATGTCGTCTCCATAAAACACAATAAAACCAAGAAGATCCAAAGGAGTTTCTGGTAGAACTTAATTCCGGTTACCGAGCAGCATTTTGCAATCTGTCGGTGTCATAGAAATTTCCAAAATCTGTGCAATTTCGACGAATTGCATCGACATCTGTGCCAGTTCTCCCGGCATCTTCCGACGTCACCTAATTCTTCTGTCCACATCGATCCCCCAGGCTGTGCATCTTGTTTTGGCGTTTTTTACAGCAACTTGGCTCAAATCATCACGAAGCTGGACAAATTCATGCTCCAAAGATTCAAGATCAGTTGCTGCTTCCTTGAAATTCATAGTAGGACCCTGTAAGCGCTTACATTTTTCCAAGAATGACATTCCAGAAATGTAATAAAACTATGAAGCAAAAATTTAATACGCATGCCTGTAACTGTTCTGCATCACTTCTGGTTTCAGGCGTCATAGTTACGTCCTCCGACAATTTGTCTAGCAGCCCTACTAGTTCATCCATTCCATCATAGAGAGCTTTAACAGCTTCTGATCATGCACTCCAGCGTGTTTCAGACTCCCGCTTTACTGTGATGGGCACAGCTTTTTTTAACTCTTCCCAATGAATTGTTGAACGAGAGAAAAATATATACTTTCAACTGTTCCAAAAAACGTGACGACAAGTGGATCCTGTTTAGCTGAGTGTACTCCTGCTAAGTTTAAGCTGTGGTTGTCACAGTTGACAAACAATGCTCTGTGATTTTTGTCACATATTCGTTGTTGAAGGCCGGATATATGCCCAGTCATCACAGCAGCATTGTGATAACATTGTGCCCGATAGTCGGCTAGAGGTATGTTGTCAAATTTCAGTATCTCGACGATGACTCTTTCTAGGCTTGCTGCATCTTTTTCATGTATCTCGATATAACCTAAAAATGATTTTTTGATAGTTACTTTTTTAGTTTGAAAATCCACATCCACAAATCTTATGACCTGAGAAAATGTAATTACATGCAATGTAGGCTGTGTGTGGCGGGATATATAAACTTTTAGGTTGAGGTGTAGATTTGCGCAGTAGTTTCAGGCTGCCGCGCCCGCCGCATTAAGTGATAATGTAACGTTGTAAGCCTCATTTAGGCGCCCCTTTACCTTGGCGCCCGGGGACATATGTACCCCCCTGCCCCCCCCTAGCTACGCCTCTGGGTGAGCGTACTGGCAGTCTATAATGTAGACTGTAGCCTGGTTCTTAACCTCGGTGAGTGTATTGGCATGTCTATAATGTAGACTATTGCCTGTTTTTTGACGAGACCTTTGCAATGGACTAGACCTTGGTGATGGACACTCACAGCTTTGTATGTAAAAAAAGTCCAGGCAGCTTCCACATAGTGTTACAGAGCCTAATGAAAGAATGCTGCTAGACCAATTTGAAGTGAGACTTGGATGCCAAACCAAAGCTGGTCATGAACACATTAACCAGGTATAGGAGCTCCTCCACCACGTGTAGAACAACCTGATTATTCATGGAGAGCTGAGCAGGTGCAGTGCTGTATGACATTAAATTCCCAGGGAGGTGTTCTTTGGGTCTTTCGGTAAAGTCACGTCACTTAACCGAAAGACCCAAAGAATATTAATTCCTGCAGTTACGAAAGCTTTAGGTCAAGATTTTCCCAGGGAGGTGATCTTTTTGTAGAACATATGCAAGGCCCCATTTCGTCATGGAATTCTCCAGGTACAGAACACGATTCTCCAACTCAATATCATTGAGTAGCCATGACCAGATCATCAACATGCATAACATGGTTGACCAGCAGGGGAAAATCCCTTGACTATAACAGACATTGATTAGCGTATCATTGTTACTGTATCAAATGCATTTTTTATAGGGTCGTTGTGAGCTTCTCAAAACACAACTATATGCAAATGCTACGTAATGTAATGCATGCGGCTAGAGGGAATTTCGGCCACAAGCCAAATTGAACAAGAAAGGGATCCGACTCCTGGTCACGCAACTTTAGATGGGCCAGCCAAAAATCATAAAAATCCTCAACGATTGTGAGAAGAGGCAGAGACATCGAAAACCAAAAACAAACCAAAACCCCAAGCCTCTGTATGGTACTATAGGCTGTAATTACACCAAGAAAGCAGAGATCTAGTTTCTGCTGAAAATCCGTACTCCTGTACTATAGCTGATGGACAAAAAATACAGCAGCCCCTTGAATAGCGCGGAGGTTACATTCTTGGAAAGTGCCGTGCGAAAGCTAAAATGCCGATATTTAACATTTAAGCCTGACCTAAATAATGGGGTTAGGTAAACGGCATATAAAATATACATTACAATTGAAATAAGTACTGTACTGTATTCCCAATAAACTAAATTACTGAAATAAATGTGGAGAAACCGTATACAAAACATTCCAAGATGAGTTTAAATGTATATAAATAAAGCAGACTTTGTGTTTTTTTGAGAACCAAATTGCGCCAACACTATGAAACAAACACACATCAAAAATTCCATGCGTACTCAAGGGTAAGTTATGTTTTTCACACAATTTTTAGCTTACCTGTTCATCATCAACACCTGTAACACCTGCACACTCCAACACCCCGCCGCTGCTATATTTTTTCTCATTTACCACATTATCCTTACATATTATCAGGCCTGCATTTTTGCCACAAAATTAATTAACTTCCAGGTCCTTATTGTCCTCTCTGCACACGCACGGCTCACCTATAATATACTGTAATATTTCATCATGGAACCTTTTCCAGTACTAAAATATGAGAATAGGTTTTCCCCGTTTTTCTGGCAACAAAACAGGTGTTAAGATGTTAAAACACCAAACTGAAACCTTTAACAAGGAATCATGTGTGCATTAACCACAATACTTGTGGTCAGAATGCAAACAAAAACACTCTGATAGAAAATGCATGGTCTGCTGCTGAGGCAGACTGTTTTAGAAGGTTTGAAATGGGTGTAGCCCAAGGGTCATAAAGAAGTGGCCGGGGCAAGTGATGTTAACGTAATAAATTAGCATGTTAATGTGAAATCGAAAAGTGGTGCAATCCAAAGCGGCCTCCCTACAAGACAGAGAAGGAGCGAGGCTCTACCTGGGTAAACAACAACTACCACCACGACAACGATGTGAACTTCTCACTTCGGATCTCAGTGAGCGCGCATGAAAATAAATCACGTTTGCTAACACAGAGCGCATGCCCGGGATACACTGCCGAGATCATCGATGACCTTGCCGCCGAGAAAGTTCAGCAGCATCTGACAAGCACAACGGGGTGTCAGCCAGATGCGAACTGCCCATATCCCCCATTTAGCACCCTTGCCGAGCACGCGCACGTGTGTGTGAGAGATTTGCTAGCGAGCGTGCGGAATTCCGACGGCTGGGACGGGATAGCACCATTGCAAGTCTTCTTCCAGAGGAGGAGGTGAGGGGGGGGGACGAGGGAGCCTCCGGGACCCCGTGAGACAACCCCAGGATGGGTGGCAGGGATACAGACCGGTATAGGAGATAACGCAGGCCATGTGACCCAAGTACGCGAGGAGGTAACCCAAGTACACCTGAATGTGACCAAGCTGCAGTCTACAGCGGAGATAGTCCAGTCCGAGGTGGGAGGGCTACGCTCCATGGTCGGGGGGCTAACCAGGCGAGTGTCTCAATAAGAGGCAGAACTCGAACAAATGCGCACTGGGAGGGTAAGGGGAAGTAGGCAAGGGGCCTCTTATGGAGCCACCGCCCTTCCCCGTGCGTGCTATCTATGCGACCAATGGGGGCATCTCGTGAGAGACTGTCACCAGATCGCCCGTGCGAGAGAAGCACCAGGGTTAAACACCAAGGCCTCCTCTTCTTGGTTCTTTCGGTAAAGTCACGTAGAAGGGAAGTAATAAAATAATAAAAATAAAACATAATAAAATAATTCTCACGACGTTTCGGCCACAACGCAAGCAGCCGTCCTCAGGTGAAGAACATGTCTGTCGATAAGACAGAGTCTAAATGACACGTCTTAGGCTTGAAGTGTCTATTTAAGCTGTGAAGGAGGAGGAAGAGAGCCTTGACAAAAGAATTTGCATTTGAAGAGGAATTTAGCATATTTATGGGAAATTCAGGAATGCGAAGTGCTAATTGTGAAATGCGTGGGAGGTGGGCGGGGGGTTTTCAAAGTCATATTATGCCCATGCATTATGCAGGATTAACAGCATCAAAGGGAGGGGGCAGGGGCAGCACCAACAAAGGGAAGGAATGTGAATAGTATGCAGCTGCAGCAACCAAACAACCACGTAAAAAACTAAAGTATAAACTTCATAGTATCATCAGTATACTAAATATACTCTCTAATAAGCTGAGCTACTAACAGTAAGTAATCCATTACAATTCTATGTCGCAAAAAAATATGCTTCCAGCTAAACTTTTTCCCTTACATCAAACAGGTCTGACCCGTACTATATGCTGCCATAGACAAACCCAACATTAAATTATATACTGTATTACTATACACCACCCTATACCTTATACATTGTTATATTACACTATGTATTATTCTACCCACCCTAATGTATATCACACTGCTATATATTCACTATACAATTACGATACTATATATTACTTTGTACATTGTATTAAGCATATAAATGTTATGCTATTTGTTATTATACACTGTACCATTGACCGTCGTGTGAAAGATACTAAGAGGCAGCAACGAAATATGATAATGGGAGAGTAGCAGAGCAAAGAATCCATTCCCTGCATAACATTTATATGCTTAATACAATGTACAATGTACAAGGTAATATATAGTATCGTAATTGTATAGTGAATATATAGCAGTGTGATATACATTAGGGTGGGTAGAATAATACATAGTGTAATATAACAATGTATAAGGTGGTGTATAGTAATACAGTATGTAATTTAATGTTGGGTTTGTCTATGGCAGCATATAGTACGGGTTAGACCTGTTTGATGTAAGGAAAAAAGTTTAGCTGGAAGCATATTATATTTTTTGCGACATAGAATTGTAATGTATTACTTACTGTTAGTTGCTCAGCTTGCGTTGTGGCCGAAACGTCGTGAGAATTATTTTATTATGTTTTATTTTTATTATTTTATTACTTCCCTTCTACGTGACTTTACCGAAAGAACCAAGAAGATGAATCCCTGCAGTCACGAAAGCTTTAAATCGAAACCAAGGCCTCCATAAAGAGGTTGACCACGGAGGGGTGCAATTGACGTGGCCCCAACACAAATAAACTGTCGTGATAATGGTGAGCGAATGACCCCCACGCAGATGCCGACAACAACACCCCAGAATGCGGCGACTGCGGGTGACTGGCTGCGGGAGCTGGTGGCAGGAATAATGGGGGTCACGTCGCTCGTGGAAGGGCAGGTGAACAGGTGGCGTACCCAGATTCTGCTGGACACGGGGGCAGTAACGTCACTCGTGAGTGCAACACACGGCAGCGTGGTTGGGGTTGACGTGGGCCGCCTACAGGCCCCGGATCGTGCGCTGCACACTGCAAGTGGAAGTGGGATGGGACTGCTGGGGAGGGTCACCCTTAAGGGTCGCCTCGGACACCAGGTGTGTAACCAGGAGTTATACGTGTCGAGCGTGTTATGCCACGAGTGTATTGCAGGTACCGACCTCCTGGGAAAGTTGGCGCTCAGCGTGCAGCCACCGTGGAGGGCAGCGGGGAGCGGATTCCTTTCTTGGGACAAGAGCCGGGTTGCCCTCGCTTCAAGCCCGTGGCTGCTATCCTGGCGTCGGCCGTCACCGTCGGCATTGGTGTTCCACTGGCTTTTCCGTTTTTCTCCCAAACCTAAACTCAAAATATATTTGGTGGTGGTCAAACATTCCAATGCAGGACCCTCCTGAAACATAATTTTTAACTGCTAAGTAAGAAATTAAATTGGAAAACCCTCAAACACAGTACGCTATTTTTATTTTACCAGGTGAGGCCCACTGAGCTGCATAGTTCTTTTTCAGAATCGACCTGGACACAAATGATAGCTCAACTTAGTGGCTTATAATATGGAAATGTTTTGCAGCCAAATTCTCAAAATGCATGTTTCTAAATGTGGAGAAAAATCAATGCCACTACAGGGAGAGAAAGAAAAGAAAAAAAAATTAAACCAATTATAAATGCGTCAGCGTTGGACTCAAACCCACGACATCCTACATACCATGTGAGGTAGTTAACATCTCGCCACCACAGCACAATACATCACACACACACACATTACAATGAACACACCGACTCCCTCTCCCTGTACACACTCTACATGCGTGACTCACTCTCAAGCACTCGCCCCAAGCGCACCTCTCAGCTGCTGTCCCCAACTCCTCTCTCCGGTCTGCTCTTGGTGACGTCACCCGCCAGACAAAGGGGGGGGGGGGAGCCGACTCTGAGGGTGACGTCACCGCACAACACGGCCGCTCCCCACACAACACACACGGGGGTACACTCACACACAGTAGAGTACTCTCACACAGAGTACTCTAATACAGAGTAAACACACGGAGTACACTCGCACACACGGGGTAATCTCACACACGCAGAGTACACTCACGCACGTAGTTTACGCTTGCGGAGTACACTAACACAAATGAGTACACTCACTCACACTATTTGTTTTTCTTAGGGTCCTTCGATTTTTTCCCTCCACATTTAGTAACATGCATTTAGATTATTTGGCTGCTATAATCTTCCACGTTTAAAGCCATTTCGTTAAGCTATCATCTATGGCCAGGTGGCTTCTGACAAAAGATCTAACAGCTCTGTGAGCCTTGGTTGGTAATATAAAAATAGTTTACACCATTGGAACCTCATTTGCCAGTAAAAAATATGATAATTGTTTTTTTTTACCCTTTTATCTGGCAACAAAACTGACACCTTTTTTATGAGGAGTCATGTTTGCATAGACCACAATACCTAGTCATAATGAAAACAAAAAAAGATAACTTTGATAATGTATGCACTGTCCTTGAAGTTCATTGGTCCACACACGAGATAGCTTTCCTTAGAACCTAGTCTCACATGGTGTTGGACCAGATGACGCCAAAAGGCGCACAACTCAAAGACAATGCACCATCAGAGAGAGACTCTTGTTGCCAGATAAAAAACCAATTATCAAAATAGTTGTTCATCGGTCTAAAGGGTGCATCAGCAAAACCAACTCAGCAGAACGCTCCTGTATATTTGCAGTTTCCCCGTGGTCGCGTGGAATTTCCTCGGGTTTTCCTCTCCACATTAAGAGTCAACATCACCACGCGTTTAGAGTATTTGACCGACAAACATTTCCACACGTTGATAAGCCACTTTGTTGTGGGAAGGTCGCTTCTGAAAACAAGAGCGGTATAGCAGCTGAAGTGGGCTTGGCTTAGGTAGGATAAAAACAACTGTAGAAATATTTAAAAGAAACACATTTTCACAGTGAGCCAGATGAAGACAAATTAAACTTAAGCAGAGAATTAAAGCAAATGCAATCAGGCGAGGGCAGGAGGCAAGGCCCAGCATGGATAGGCCCCGCGTTGTAATGTTCCAACCTGGACATCGATTCCATCCTCGCTGCTACTCAATTGATATCCCTACGAGAGACGGAGCGAGGCTCTACCTGGGTAAACAACAACAACAACAACAACCACCACAACAACAACCACCACAACAACAACCACCACGATGTGAACTTCTCACCTCGGATCTCAGTGAGCGCGCGCGCGGTGCAGCAGCTTCCGGATACATCGTGACGTCACGCGGCAGCAGGAGGTGATATGACGTCACTAGCGGGGTTCACCACACAATCCCCTCCCCCAACGATCAGCGGTGAAATTGAATAAATTATGTTAATGAGCCGGGCCCACGTGGGGTGATTGGGCTTGGCTGCTGAACCCGTCGCAATAAACTCGCGACGGTAATCCTGAATCAATTATGTTAATGAACTGCCAGTCAAAATCGCGGCGGAGGGGGTGGGATTGAATATTTAACACGTAGGCTTTCGCGACCAATGTTATTCATAATCAACGATTTTTGGGTTTAGATCGCGTTTATTTATAAATGTGTCGTGACCCTCCACCACCCGACACGGCCAATCAGTAAAAATGTGTCACGTTGACAAAGACAAATAGTTCACTGCTTTAGCCCACCGGTGTGTTGAAGCAACAACATTTACAATTTGAGTACGACGTTTCGCTGGTAATTGCAACCAGCATCATCGGGCAATTCGCCAGAATGGTGAGGCTCTCCTGTGTCTCCCGTTCTTATATAGAGCAGCAGCAGGGTGACGTCATCATTAACTCGTTAACTCATCAGGTGCAAAGATTCAAGGGGGGAGTGATTGTAATTATATACTAGATTAGTAATCAGGCTATTGTTACGATGCGAGTTGTAGATTAGTAATCATTTGGAATGTGTTTTATTGTGATTATGCTACATTAGTAATCAGTTAGTGGTTGTTTCCCTTATAAGTAATTGTAATGTATCTTATTTAATAATACGCTTCCAGGCCGCACTAAGCCTGTAGCTGTCTGAGCGATTAAAGTTATTTCTGTTTCTCTCAATTTCAATCGATTCTCTAATTAGTCTTTGCCAGTAGTAACTAGTTTTACACAACACTTCCACGTTGTCAAAATCAATT